CCAGTGCTGCGGGAGCTGGGGGGGCAGGGGTGTACTGGAGGGCTAGACTCCAGGCACAGCCAGAGGTATGGGGCAGCAAAGGACAGATTTTAACATATAAGGATCTGGATTTTAGCACCTTAAAAATCGGTTTTGCAGCCCAAAGCAAGTGAAGCAAGCAGGCAGGCCTCTGCTGAGCTCAGCGATATTTGGGAAACCAGCTTAGACATTACCAGGTTGGTGGGGAACCCTGATTCCCTTTGGCTACATTTGGCAAAGGTGCCTGTTCTGCCCAGCTCCTCACAGCCCTGCGGCAGATCAGACCCTCCCCTGAAAGACGGCAGGCGGGGGAGAGGGCAGCCGTGCCCAGCCCCCAGCCAGCACTCCCGCCTTTGTGTCCCGCTCCAGGGGCAGAATCCCCTTCTGCAACCGTTGAACCGGCCATGCTGGAGCAGCACAACCCGCCTTTATTTGCCAAACCCAGCAAGGCGCAGGGTGCTGCTTCTGCAAACAACTCAGGCCCAGTCATGCCATGTCCCACTGCAGGGAAGCACTGTGCCCTGGGTGCTGCCATCACTGCTCCTGCCTGGAGGATGAGGGGCTGCCGGCTCCGTTCTCACCTGAGCTGGGTCAAACTGGACTGAGGGGGCAGAAGGCCACCAGCCCCAGAGCTCCTGCTGCCTCTTCCTCCCCTCAGCAGCCATTTTCCCTGACCAGGCAGCAGTGACTCAAGCCGCAGCCGGCCCAGGCAGCAGTGACTCAAGCAGCAGGTCTGCCTTTGCCACCACTGCCAGCTTCATGCAGGAAGGACACTGTTGGGGGAGAAGTACAAATACTAGGAGCTTGGGGTTTTGTTTTTTGGGTTTTTTTTGGTTGACTGGCCTCTTCCCCCTGCATGCCCGTGCCCTCCCACTCCCATTCCCTTCAGTCTCTGCTCACAGAGTTACAAGCAAGAATCCCAGTGCAGCTGCAAATCGTGTCCATCAAGGAAGTCTGTGGAAAAGAGGCTGGGAGCTGCAGTGCTCAGGGGAGCCAGAAAAAACCCCCGGGCACCCCCAGCCAGTCCATGCTTTCCAAGTTAGCCTCAGCCAGATCCAGGGCTATGCCCCCAGACGGCTCGTGAGCAAAGTGCAATTCCGAGGTGTCCATAGGTGAAGGCGGGTGGTCCAGGATGGCCGAGCTGCTCAGCATCTCATTGTGGAGGTCGTCAATCAGGGACAGGGGCTCTGGCCCATCGTGGCCTGCTGTCAGCAGCGGGAGGCCAGTGCTGCTCTCCAGGAAGTCCTCCAGTCGGCCCACGGGCACCGGCTGCCCTAAGGACACTGGCACCGCCAGCTCTGAGGAATGGTGGCTGCTGGGCGGTGGGGAGCAGGCTGGGGCCACGGGTGGTTCTTTCCCAGCTGGGGACGACTCATCCTTGAAGTCGGCAGAAATCTCTGTACAGGGAACAACCAGGCAAGCCAGGGTGAGGAAGAGCTTGGCCGAACACCAGAAGGATCCCTCCCACCCACCAGGGCAACTGGAACCCCCCAGACTGAGCCATAGCTGACCACCAAGTAGGATAAGGAAACTCGTCCTGTGCCTGCACTCGGCCTGCTATGAGGAGTTTTCAGCTCACCTGCGGGGAACTCAAGCTCTGTCCAGTATCGCAGAAGAGATGTGCCCAGATCGTATGTAGCAGAGCCACGAAGAAGTTTTTTTCTACTGACATCTCCCTTAGTGCCTTAATGACTACTGCCTGTGCTAAAGGCACTGGCAGGGATGCTGGGGCAAAGACCTGGGCCATGACAGACTCTCTCCTCAGTGCTCTCTAATCCCTGGGCCCAGACCCAAAGACTGTGGGAAAGGCTGGCTTTGTCTCCTTACCTCCACTTTCGATGAGAATGTCAAACAGGTCGTCCATCTGCTGGCTGGAAGAGCCATTCTCCTGGGGAGAGCGAGTGCAGGATTAGCTTCCTATTTACCAGGGGAGCTTCCACCTCCAGCAACACCCTTGGCTGCTGGCTCTCCCCCCTCGCCCCAGGGATGGGGCCATTATCTAGCAAGAATCAGCACACAGAGGCACGGCACCAGAACCCTCTGTAACCCCACGCTGTTACCGGAGAGGAAGGTATAGTCAGCAACTGCTGTACTAACACTCGCCAGCCAGTGAGTGGTTTGGGATCTCTACCTGTGGTTTAGGGTCTGCCCCAAACCCTCCAGAAGGAATCTGGCTAGGAAGGTACAGTTAGAAAGGGACGGTTGTGTCTCCATTCTCTATTACTGGCCCACATGGAAATCTGAGCAGATTTACAATGGCAATTTTTCACCGGCTCTCCAAGGAAAGAAACCAGGGAGAAGAATTGCTCTCACCTGGGCCTTTGGCTGTTGCTTCACAGCCTCTTCATAGCCTGGTGGCTCTTTCATTGGGACCGAGGGAACAGGGAGAGGAGGTGGAGGAGTTCCAAAAAGCGACGTGTGCTGTTGCTGCTCCTGGTCCATCTGGGATGGGGAAGGGACAGCAGGCGAGCTGGGCTGCGATGAGGGCTGTTTGGAACAAACTCCTGTCTCACAGCTGCTTTGAGAGACCATCACCCCCTCTTTTGGTGAGGGCTGCACAGAGGCCTGCACTGCTCTGCTCCCAGCAGCCTGCCTTCTTCCGTGTACTCTGCACACTACTGGCTGCAGGGGAGGAAGACATTTCCTCTCCACCTGACATCTGGAAATTTTTTGCTGATTTTTTCTAACACTAAAACCAGACAACCACACCACAAACTGCCACTGGGCTGCTCCTGGATGGGGAGAGCCTCATCTGTCCAAGTGGGGGATTCCCCTAGCACTTTGGAGAGAGAGGGCACTTCCCCTGCTGTGTTCAGCCTACCTGCGCTGTATATCCAGGACCGATCTGTTACCCACCGCGCTCTGCAGTGCCTGCTCTGGGGACACAATCAAGCTTCACTAGCAGCAAGTTTCACAGACTGATGGTGGGTGGAGAGCACCAGAGCACTCAGCAGCACCAGAGACCTCCAAAGGAAACCCCAAGGGCTGCAGGAAGTGGTGCTTGTGACTCAGCTTTACCAGATGAATCAGCACACAAATGCACATAAGAAAAGTTGAAACATGGATCGGGTCTTTTCATCGACAGCAGTCAGGCGTGATCCATGCTGAAACCTGCTCCTCTGGAGCGGCAATCCCCGGGCAGCAGCTGAATGCCAAGTGCCAACACTTGTATGTGTTGATGCTCTTCCCCACCCTGTTTTCCCTGGAAAACTGTTCAGCTGTTCTGTGACCTGCAGGCCCAGGCCAGCAGAGCTGCTCTGGGGTCCACCCTCTTCCTGAGAGGGGGTAGAAGCTGGCACTGTGGCACAGGCCACTGGGGTGTGCTGGGAGGGTACTGTTTTTGACACATTGGGTGGGCCAGCTTTGCCAGGAGCAGCAATTTTCAGGAAAATTTGTGGAAACCCTATTGGGGAAGAAGGGCTGCAGGTTTGGAGGTGCTGAGAAACACAATGTGGTGTGGGGCAGCTGCCCTGTGGCCACCTGTAGACCTGGCTTCTGACTCTACAGGGAGGCAAAAGGATTAGGAAAGTCACTACAGGAGTCTGAGGGAAAAGCTGCCTCTGTTTGCCTTCTGCATTTCCTTCAAGGTCTCAAAGCAAATGAAGGCACTGACCCTTGGCAAAGTGGATATCCCATCTGACTACAATAGAAATGACTCTTGTCTTCATACCCTTTTCATCATCTGTGATCCTCCAAGCTCTAAAAACTCTTCATAATCTTTCTGTATCTTATCTTAATTACATGTTAGAAAGAGCCCTAAGTCATCCCTGATGTGGGCTAGAAAGGGAGGAGATGCATTGCAGAGCCTCTTTACAGCCATCACCTGGAGAAGGGGTAAAGCCAGAGGTGCTCTTTTTTTCTCGAACCTGCATTGCACTTCACAAAGAGATAGATTAACAGGTGTGTGCTCATGGCATGCGAACGGAAATCACAGCATGTTCATCAGTACCAGAGAGTAAAAGCTCACATCCTTTTGTCCCTCTCCGAGCTCATACGCCACCTTCAGTAGCAGATGTACTGCCCACACCACCCTCTCTCCATGCAGGAGCCACCTTTTCAGTTCAGCAGCACTCCTTTAAGAATAAGGACCAGGGACACCTCTGTGAACCAAGGCTTCCCACTCTGGCCTCTCATCGTTTTTAATCAGTAGACAACACTTGTTTAAAACATCAGCTGGTATTCTGCCAAGATGTGGAACCAAAGGGCAGAAGCTAGTAAACTGTCAGGGTTTAGCCCAGAGCTCTTTGCTGTTAAAGCCTCCACATCACTTCCAAGCGTGCCCATAGGGGACGACCTCATGGACTCTTAGTGCTCCTGAAACTTCATGCCTGACGGGCTCTCCATCGCAGCTACTTCAGCAGCAGGCAGGGGACTGGAGAAGCTAGGCCAGGCACCCCTCTGCTGACACGTTCCAGCTGAAAACCAAACACTGTGCAACTGCAAGCTGTGGCAGAAGCTGCTGTGAGATCTCACTTGCTGTGATGATGGTCTCTGACCAGGATTGTGTGCGTGTGTGTGTGTGTGTGTGTGTGTGTGTCCCCTTCCCACCACTGGCTGCTACAAACCCCAGCAGCAGGCAAAGAAAAACAAGGAAGAAAAGTGAGCAGGCAGCGAGCTACCTTTCTGGCAGATTGCTTTAGTCCTCTGGGCTGCTGCTGCTTCTGCTGCTGCGTGGGCTGCTGCTTCTGCTGCTGCTTGGGCTGCTGAGGGGTGCTTGCAGGTAGCTGACACGGCGGTTGGCTGGAAGTTTTAGCGGGCGATGATTGTACTCTCTGGAAAGAAAAGAGTATCTGTGAGCAGCTATTCCCCAGACACAACATGGAGCAAGGCTTGTGTTTCTTAAACCATTCATGAAGTTTGTTTTTCCCCCCTCTTTATTCTTTAGGAAATTCAGACAATCGTTCTGTTTCACCAAGCAGAGAAAACAGATTGGGGTGTGATCCAAAGTCCTAAAAAAGGAGGTAGCCCCACTCTAAATCCCTGGCCTATCCACAAGATCCTTCAAGGGCTGGAAAACCTGACACAGGACCTGTGCCCTTCTGGAGCAGTGGCTGGAGTTCAGGTTGGATACCCTGAGGTATCCAGGGTGACACCAGACACTGGTATTTAGACAGCTGACTCATATCTCACCTGCTATGCAGCACATGCAGCCTACTCTGTGCCTGCCCCGATGGCAGACGCTGCCACTTGCTCTGCAGAAGGTGCAAGAAACATGTCAGCAGAGAATGAAAATCTTCTCTGATGCCATGGAAGATGCTGGGGTTTGACTTGTGCCATAAAACCTGAGTATATTTATCCCTTCCTGGAAGAAACACTCTGAATATTTCTGTTAAGTGCTGAGCTCATACCAACAGGGGAATAGTAGATCATGTCTGACGAAAGACTGTTAACACTGAAATACCGACACACATTAAAACAAAGAGCAGTCAAAAAGCAAAAATTCTGCTCCCAGGTCCTGATTTCAGCTCTCGGTAGGCAAGGTGGCCTATCACTCCGACTACAATCTCTCTAACAAAGGACAAACAAGTCTCTCTAACAAAGCAAGGTGAAATACACCTCGCTTTTTTAACACCACAGGCATAGCTGTTCTTTCAAAAAGCAGTGAAATGTGGCAGCAAACCCTTGTCTTCCAAGCCTGAGATCCTGCCCAACAGAAGGCAGAACCACATGTTTGGAAGAATGCTGAACAGCCTGTGATGCACACACTCAGTCGGGCAGTGCTGTACACAGCTCCTCACTGTCAAATTCCAGTCCTTTTGCTGAAACAGAGCTTACACTGCTCTGTTTTACAAAGCCAGGAACTACCAGCCATCAGTCATAGCAAGCAACTCGGCCATTTTAGTATTTACTGCATTGAATTTCCACTGCGTTAACTCATCCTATGGTAACCTGAATTCTAGGAGTGGGAAGAGGGAGGGAGGAACCCAACTGCCTGTGGCAGGGATGTGATCTAACCCTTGCCTACCTGCAAGGCTGGGCAGCTACTCCCGGCCTTCCCGTGGGGTGAGAGGCCCTGCCTCTCGGTGCTCTGCTTGGTCACGGTGAGGACGATGTGGGTCCCTGTGGAGTCAGTGATGAGGGTAGGGGGAGGGGTGCTCTTGATGAGGTCACTCAGGGCACTCCCTTGCTGGCCAAGGAAAAGCCGTGGGCTGTGGAACTGGCACGGCGGCTCTGCTTCTGCAGCTGGCACCTCCTGCTTCACCATCACGGCTTTCTTTGGCACTGGGCTTGGATCTGAAGTGTCCATTTGGCTAGTGGTTGGTGCAGGGCTGAATTGGTCTGTTTGGCCACTGGATTGCTTTGCAAACTGGCAACTCAGGAAACCGTTTTCACTCTTGACCTGGGTGCCCAATGCTACTGGGTTGGAGACAAGGGCTGTTCCTTCTCCTGCAGCTGCTGGGGCCGGTAGTGACTGCTGAGAGCGCTTCTCCTGCTCTAGCTGTAGTCTAAGCATCTCAACCAGCTGCTGCTTCTGCTTCAGCATGCGGGTGAGTTCCTCGATCTGCTTGTCCTTCTCCTGCAGCATCTGGTCTTTGTCCCTAGCTTCTGCATCTCTGCTGTTACCAGTGCTGCAGCGCTCTGACCTGGGTGCTGCATTTACGCCGCAGGAGGCAGACTTCGAACTTTCTTCCTTCACCAGGAACTGCACTGGAGACGCCTGCAAGGTGAGCTGGGTCAGGGGTGAAGTCACCATCTCTCCAAAGGTGTCTCCAGTGGCCGAGTTCTCATCCCCTGTGCTCATTTGCGAGCGCTCAGAAGGAGTGGGAGAAACAGGAGGAGTTGAGCCTGTGCTGCCAAACTTCATCACGCCACCACCAGTGACTGTGGCCACAACTACTTCTGCTGGTGCAATGCCAGTTGTGACCAGGGCTGGCCCTGTGCTCAGTCGGGCAGCTGGGAAGGGTACCACCACCTCGGCAGCTTTTGGGAGGACAGCTGCTGTGCTGGGCTTAGGAGTGGGAATTGTTTGGCTGGCTGCACCATTCTGCTCTTGGTAAGCTCTGAGACGCTCAATCAGGTCCGTCTTTGTGCCCGAGACAGGCAAGGCCCTCAACTTCAGCTCTTGCTTCAGCTCTGCTACCTGATGAGGGGGAAAAAGCAGGCAACATTAAGAAAACATACACTCTAACCAGAACACCTATTAACTGCTACCAGAGCCATGGAGCAAAGGACTAAACTGCCCCTCCTGCAGGCCAACAAACCTACACCTCAGATACAGACTGCAAGGCAGCAGTGCCAGCTGCTATCACTAACTCCTGTCAGTCCAGCTCAGCCCTGCTCTGGAGCAGCAGTATCATTCAGCACTGCCCTCTCCGCTGACAATGGCAAAAAAAGGGGCTGTGCAGCTGCACAGGACATTTACCTTCATCTCATCCAGGTTGGCAGGGAGAGGGCCAGGCTTGCCCACTGCAGCGTTACTGTTCTGTCGAATCAGCCCACTGGAAGCAGAGGATACTGAAGATGTGCTGCTGACCGTGGCAGAGAGATTGCGTACAGCAGGGGCACTGGCACCACTCTGCTGCTCTCCTGGAGGCCTGCAGGGAAAGGAAAAACACGGGCATCAAAACCAAGGTGGAGAGGCACTGGAGGCCCTGAATGTCAACAATCAGACACGTTCAGAAACATCTGGATCACTAGTGCTACCCTAGACATTAAAGCTCAACAGTGCTTTAGAGTATATCCATGCCCCTTACCCAACCAACCAACTCACTTCATCTGCTTTTGTCTGATTCATCTGACACCAGCCCTTTTTCCAGCCCGCTGTAACTTAATGAGATTGAGTGTGTTACACCCACCCACCAGCCTCACACCCAGAACACGTCTCTGCTAACAGTATTGGGGAAGCAAGTGCTTCCTAAGACAGAGCTGCCATTTAGGACCCATACTTTGGAGGAGCTGGCAGGATGGTCTGATAGTTGTAGTGCTGCTGCTGCTGCTGGTTGAGGATCTGAAGCTGGAGAAAGAGCTGCTGCTGCTGCAGTATTTTGGCATAGGATGAATCCATGGGAGGAGCTCCCTTGTTCTGCTTTTGGTCCGGGGGAATATACTGATGATATTTAAGCTTCTTGACTTTCGGCTTCAACTCCTTGGCTTTTTTACTGCGCTGAGACTTCTCACTAGCAGACTTGGGCTGGCTTTGCTATTTAGAAGAAAAGGAGGAAGCAAGTAAGAATGGAATCACTGAAATAACATAACACCCCACGTAAACCAGAATGCACACTGGGATTTTTGTTTCAAAATTCTCCAGATTTGACCTCAGGGTCTTTCCATGCTTCTCTAACTCAGGCAACAGTATAGTCATAGCACCCACAGCAGCTTACGCTGCACCGTAACGCAGGTCACCTTTCCCAGCACACCAGATCATTTGCTCATCCAGTGCAGGGTCACTGACTCTAATTATGGATAATGCTGATTGATTGTTTCAGAAGTTTTTTTCATTCAGGACCCATTTTACAGAAGGTAAATACATAATGGAACAGAAAAACCTATTAAACATGTTATAACTAGTGTCAGAGGAAGGCACTAGTGATAATAAGCTTTCCTTCCTTTGCATCTGTTAACACAATACCTCCAACTCCAAACCTTCTTTAGAGTAATCATCTTATCCTCCTTTCGACTACAACAATGAAGAAATCAGCCAAAAAGTACCTTAATGAGTGTTGGTGGGGGCTTGGCAGCAGTAAGAGCTGCTCCATTGGTAAGACTAGGAGGCAGAAGAGGTGGAGGTGGCAGAGGCGGGGGTGGCTGTTCAGGTAGGAAAAGGGTTTCACTGGAGTCTGTGTTAATCTGCAATTGGGATGAACCCTGCAGGGACAGAAAGAGGCATAATGAATACACATATGAGGAGGGAAACAGTTTAAGAGAGTGCAGGAAGTGTCCACTGACAGGGAAGCAGCATAGCTTTCAAGTCATTAATTAGAATCCTTTAACCCAGTCCTTCAGTTGCCCCTGAGAAGCAGCACAACTTCTTAGGGTAGAAAAGGAATCAAAATCCCACACCTCTATCTCCCAGCTTTGCCTGCCAGAATCAGTCACACACCAGCACAGGCCATACCACCAGGTAATGACTGCCCCCCTTCCCCACATGGCACCACTACAAGTGCTTCTAAATAATCAGAGGACTTCACCAACACCACACACAGCTAAGACCCCTTGTGAAATCCTACAGACTATACCTTTTAAGAATCCCTTGGTCTCACTTTTTAGGATCCTCTGCCACAAATCAGCAGTAGCTGTGAAGCTCCAGGGCACTGCAGGAGGCCACCGCATTCTCACCTGAGCTAGTGATGTGCCAGTGGTGGTAGGGAGAGGCTCACAAATCCGGGAGTCCATCGGCGATGGGACAGACCCCTGGGACTCATGGCTGGCTGGCTGTTCTGGGGAGAGGGCATCACTGCTGTCCTCATCAAAGGAGGAATTGTCTGCAACCTTTGGGTAGTTCACCTGTCCAACTAGAAACACAAACATCAACTGTGGTCTTTAAAGTGGAATAAGATATTATTTCACTTGACACTAGACATTTCACAAAGATATGAAGGCACGGAGAGAGTTGCATCTGAATTGTGCTTAAAGCACCAACCAAAAAAGAGAGAACAGTGCCCAAACTGGATCAGTTTTAAGCGCTGACATTCATCTCTGCTATCGGGAGAATGAAATGATGCAGACGAGGGTGAACCACTTCCCTTGCTTCTTAGGCAGACATGATCAGCAAGTGTAACGAGGTACTTAACTCTGCTCAAACTCACATCTGTGTCATGGCTTATTTGATTATCATTTGGCACCCAAAAAGAAGAAGGTTAGACACTGTAAGGTTGAGTCCTGGTTTCTTTGGTGTTCATCCTATCTGGTGGAAGGTAGAATCCCTCTTCAGGACAGAATCCCAAATTGTCCTCTAGTTTTATAAGGAACAAGGGCTATGGATTAAGTGGTGGCCCTGACTGCTATGAGCATTTCTGTCTATCTACATGTCCAGTAGATAAATTCACTTGAGTGTACATTTGTAATGCACTAATGTTTTTTGGATTACATTATCTCAAATTAATCCTGATAAGCAGGAAAATACTATCATTTGCGTCTAACATAAAAGCAACAGAAATCCAGAGAGATGTCAGAGTCAGAAAGAAGCCACATCTCTAATGCTCCAGTTCACAAGTTCACTTTTTCTCTTCCTCAATCAATTCTTGTGCAACAGTGAAGGCAGGCTCTCCCACAACACTGTCCTTTTCCTTTTCCATGAAAAGTATTCTGTCTTGCTCGCAGTTGTGTCCCATTCATCTTTAAAGTAGCTGTGCGTGTTTGAGGGGATGAACAACCACAGACACACACAGACTGGGAGGACGGGAAAGAACACTGCTGAGGCAGTGGGAAGGCTATTCCTCAGCATTCCTTTCAGCCCTTGGAATGGCACTGGCATGATTTACATCTGTTCTGGTTTATTTTTAAAGAGGTTGAATCCTCTGAAGTTTTTAAGTTCACAGACAGCTTTTGTTTCATCACACCTGTTTATATTCTGTCTCCTCCCTGATCTGAGTAAGTCAGTGGATTCTCCCTGACCAAGGGATTTTTAATGAGAGAATCTAGAGAATGCAATCTTCAACATTTCAAGACTTTAGGGTATGCAATTGCTTTCACATTATTCTGAGATGTCCATACTCCCTGTAATTTAATGTAGCGCTACCTGGACCAGAGGGAGTTCTGCTTTTCAGAATCCTTGGGGCTGAAAGGCTGTGATTCTGAGACAGGAAAATAAGACCAACCATGGCATTGCACTCCCTTAAGACAGGCAGGTGAACTGACAGGAAATCACAGTCACCTATGGGAAATGTCCTCGACACAGATCCTCCTCTGGCCTTACCTATAATGGCTTCCTTCAGGCTTGATTCCACAGGCAAGATGTTCTTCTCCACCAGCTCCATGGGACCTGGCCTCTGTGCTATCTTCTCATTGAGGTCATCTGCCAGCCTGGCTCTCTTGAGCTTCAGCTGCTTAGCCTGCAAGGAGGGTTCAGCTGAGGTCTCTGTTCAGGGGAAAGTAAATAAAATGGCATCAGTCCAGCATGGGTCAACCTATGCACTTCAGCAGCATTTTACGGCTATTCAGAAAAGTAACTGTAGATAACAGTAGATACTATACAGAAAAATAATTGCAGATAACAATAGATAACTATGCACTATAGAGACATTACAAATATTATGTATTTTTACGCTATAAAGATAACTTGTGGCTCTGCAATAGGACAAATTCACTGTTCTCCAGCTGATGTCACCCATTTCTCATTCATCTTTTCCCTTTCATTTGTATCCAAAGATGTGGTATTAAGCAGCAGCATAGCACTCCCTCTCTGAAACGGAGGTGTTTACTATTCAGATCAAATCTGCCTCACTCCCTCTTGGATATCTTACAGTGTCTTCCCTTAGTACAAGAGCAATCCACAGTCATTCCACTTCATTGTTGCTCAGCTACACAAAACTGCACAACGGAGTTCACATAATGGATTCTTCTGAGAATCTCCACACCATCAGAGTTTAATCCCTCCCAAGAAATCACGCAACAGGCATGATCTTCTGCCCACTCCCAAATGAAAGAAAGACTTGGGCATCAAAGGCAAAATATAAAGCCTTTAAATAAGTAATTACAATAAAGTTTATTGTTGATGTTTTCCTGTTTAGCATGTGCCATACCTTCCAGAATGTGCATCCTAACCAGCTCTGATCTCTCTGGCCGGGACCGGATTTTCCGTTTCAGATAGTCCTCTGTCTGCAGCGAAAATAAACAAGCAAGAACCAATTTCAGTTGATCAGACACAGGAGTGAGGCAATGTTGGACAGCACAAACAAGAGAAACAACCATCTTTAGTTGTTACTGAGACCTAATAAACACAGAACAGAGAAGGGGCATATCTTCTGTCCCAGAGCACCCAGAGAATGAGCTTATTCTAAAGATGACCTTCTACTGTACATGGCCTCAGTTTAAGAGTGCACTGCTGCCCCGCAGAACAGAAACTGGAAAGGACTTCCTCAAGAGCTGAAGCCCTCTTTTACCCTTTTAAGCAACACCACTAACTTGTGTCAGGGTGAAATTCAAGACATTTCTTTTTACATTAAAGATAGATGCACTAGTTCCATTCTTCACAGCAAATACTTTCATATACTGCTGCATTCAGGGCTGACTTGTGGTTTGGGCATACTCTTTTATTTGTTTAAAGATACATTACTTGTTAAGCTGAAGACCCCATGCACTCCCTTGGCAGGCAGTATCTAAATGCTATGACAAGACCCATTTAATTTCCAGAACTGCTTTTAGCTCTGTCTTTGGAGAATGCACTACCGAGCAATGTACCAAGATGACCTTGTCTGGGCTGAGCACGTTACCCTTTACACAGCCAGACAGGAATCTGGGAGCAGTGGGTAACAGACTGGTAAGTACTGGTCATCAGAACGGGCCTTCAGAGAACAGAAATATTAAAAGTCAATTAGAAAACTGCATCATACTTGCTCAATTGCCCACACCAAAATATTAACTTAATAAGAAGGTTATAGGAAAAAAGAGGAGGAAGAAGCAAAAGCTTTTGGAACACTGGTCTTAACAAAAAGTCCACTGTTCCAATCCTTCCAGAGAGTTTAAAGTGCTAACACTCCCTTGCAGGTTTTAATCACAGCTGTTATTTTTTTACTTATGTTGCGTTCACTTTTAAAACAAAACTTAGCCCAGCAGTCATAACAGGTTTTATTCCCCTGTAGGCTAATCAGAAAAAAAACCAAACTATCCCCAGGGGCCTTTTGAGGAACAGAAATCATCAAGAAACCCCCTAGTTAGCAAAGGTGCTGCATGAAGTGTGACGCCTGGCTTCCTTTTTCTATAGAGCCAGAAGTCCGTGTGATTTCAGTGTTACAAGATTTTTAGGGGATCCTCTCTACCAAATTTTCAATTTCTAATGTCCTAGATAAAAAAGTACACGTGCAGGTAACAGAGAAACCATACACTTTCCTTAAAGGTGGAACTGAGCTCCACATGATAGGAGCATTTAAGGGCAAAACATACACCATAAAAATAAAACTATAAAGTATAAGGACAGTGGGGAAGAAGAATATCAGTGACTTCCAGAAAGAAGACTCCAGGAGAAATCCAGGCACTTTCTTCAATGGTTTTTAGGCACAACTAGTTCACTGTGTGTTAACCACCACCACATACCAGCTAAAGAACACCCCATTCAATACATCTCTGACTGCATAGCGCTGTATTACATCCAAAATACGAATTTCCTTCTGCATCTCATTAACAGCTACAGCATACCCAAAACATAAGACATACTACTCTTGACTTCCCCAAAACATTTATTAGCATATTGCATCTTACCCTGGCCCGCTCCAAACTCCTTCTTTGTTCATGAAATGCAGCTGGACTTTTCAGAGCTGTTGAGAGAAAAACATTTAGAGAATGAATTAGAATGATGGAAGTTCTCTCACTGCTCGTCCCTTCATAAGATGGCAAATACACCACAGCAACTGCCTCCTGCATCTTTCAACACACCAGACCACATCTCCAGCTGGTATAAAGCGATGTGAATTGACATACTCCATTTGACAGCATAGCAGCTACAGGAGCTGACCTGGACTTTTTGTGGGTTACTGAAGAAAGTAATATGGGCTACACTTCTAGTTGAACTAACCACTGTTCACAAAGTTGGGTCCAAGAACATGAGTCAAAACCAGCCCCGTAACAAATGCCTTTTACAAACTTCAACGTGGAGTAAAATATCTGGGACCCTTAAGTAAGGGAATGGCACTAAAACATTGAAGAGATACATGAAATGGCTGGGAGGGTGGGGGAGGATCCTAATGAACTGTAAATCCTCTTTACTACCTTTTAATGTCAAAGGAAGCTGCGAGTCTTTCCTTAATCTGCACCTGTGTTTTGTGTACATGCAAGGGCTGGTTACAAATTCTGCAGGTCCACAGGACATATATATTACTCCATGTAAGAGAAACTATAGTGAAAACAGGAACACTTGAACAGGAAAGTACATCTGTGTGTTGACAGAAAACCAAGACTTGAGGAATTAACAGCAGCTCTCCATATAACAGAACCCCTTGCCCAGTATAAAACCAGAGACAAAATGGATCATATTCTAAGAAACTGATCCTCTGCTGTCCAGGACCGTACTAACCCTGGAGGAATCTCTCACTCAGCCTGGCTCCTCTGGAGCACCCAAAGCTCATGTCCCACAGTAAAACTGCAGAAAGAGGGTGACATTAGTTCTAACTCAGCAACGGTAAGTGTCACTAGCTCCTCACATTTTTTCCAAATCTGCAAGTATCTTGTTTATTAAAACAATCACATTGTGACTTGCATTCAGAACTAGCTGAAGGGAACGTAATAATTTCCCTTCATATTTCTGAAATACTTACATTTAAAACTGCCTGGTGAAGTCCCTAAATTTCCATCAAGCTAAATAGCAAAGTTAAAAAACTTCAGCTTTAAAGATAAGCTACAAGTCTTTTGAAGACAGAAATCTAAACTTGTACAGTTAATAACTCCTAAGTATTGCATCTAGGTCCTATGAAATATAGCCCATTCCTGTTATTTTTCACTTAAGATCAATGATTAAGTATTTCTCAAATGTAACTTCATAATGAAATCTCAAAAGGCTATTAAAAAATAAAAGCCCTTGCGTAAATGCAATGTAGGAAACTACTTCTTATGCATGTGTAGACTTCTAAAATTCTTTCCTACAGAATAAAATGGAGTAGCCAGAAAGTGTTAAGACATGACACACGTTCTGCAAAATATAGACAAAATCCCTCTAGGTTCACATCAATGGAGTAAAAAGTAGAATTTACTCCATATGCCAGGAATTCTGAACACACCAGGGCATCATAGATGAGATTCAGACTACAGAAGTGAATGAAGAATAATTTGTAGAAAAAATTAACAACAATAACCATAGAGAGTGAGTATACACACCCCTACAAGGATGGGGCAAATAGTTCCCGTTCAGATTACTTTCGTACAATCTCGTTATAGAGAGAAATCACCAGAGAAAGTTACGGAAGCTGTGAAATGGCAGTATGCTGATTGCACTTTGGGATAAACCAAAGTAAGGGTAGAGATACAGTTCTGCAATAACTGCAAAGATAATACAAAAAACTTCACTGGCTGATGAAGCTGAGACATCAACTCCTGGGCAGTCTGACCATCCTACTTCAATGAAGAGCAAGCAACAAATAATATTGGGAAATATTCTTTTTAAGCCACATGAACTGCTTGTGAATATGCACGTGCTTGAACTTAAGCACACATTTCTTTCATTGTATACATATCACAGAAAAGTGAAATAAAAGTTTGGGGGCACTTGGGCAAAGATGCCATGTAATATATAAATTGGTATAAAAAGTCTACCCTGGAGACAAGCAAAGCAGGCCTCATCTTGAGTCTTCAAAAGCTCTCTACCACTGGAATGTGCAGGCATGGCAGTAATTCTTTACTCTCCCCTTCCTGCCTACCTCTGCTGTCAGTAAGAGGCAGCACATGAACTTTAAGTGACATTTTCCTGACCATAGCAAATGGCCAGGAAAGTCAACTGCGGGAGTTCAGCTGATTTCACAGGTAGTTCAAGAAAACTTTTGCATACAGAATAACAAAGAATTCTCAAGAAAAAAAAAAAAAAAAGAAAAACCCTCCCCCAAATCACATACACATTAAACAGCAAGTAATGCAAAACTGCCACAGGAAGAATCTTGTAAAGAACAATTTCAGTCTCTCATGACTAGTTCTCTGGAAACAAGCACTGGGTTGTAGCTCTCTGGGCTGGCAACACGACAGAGGACTTCATATTCGACCTCTGAAAATGTCAAGAGGGCAGCAATCCTTCACTGCTTCCCTCAGCAATCTAGGATGGGGCTGACATGTCAGGAGAGGGCATCTATTGTAAAGTCATAGTGTGTTTGAAGTTAACTAAGCTGTGCACATTTTTCTGGCTTTGAAATCACCACATAGCCCAGAGCTGTGAAGCAAGTCTGTTAACTTCACTATACCAAATGGAGCAAAAAGAAAAATCCTATGAAGAACTCTGAAGCAGTAAGGCTCTGGGTCAGCTCTGTGGGAAACCCACAACACAGACAAGCCCCTCTTCCACTTCCCACCACTGCCCTTGCTGGCCACACGGCACTGATCCCTGTGAAACTATTCCTGCCTTGCTCACCCAGCTGCTGCTTTATCCATTCTGCTCAAAAGGACCCATCTTGACAAAGCTCTACTATTCTCAGCCACATCAGCTACTCTGGCTCATTCTGATGGTGGACTCAAATGAGCAGCTTGGCTGGCAGAGCAGAAGCAGTGGTAACCAGGTAGGCATGGGCCAGCACTTCTGTCACTGACATAGGATTCATGTCCACAGCCTTGGTACTTAAAGCAGCACATATAAACACAGAAAGTAAGGATGAAGAGTCTCCAATCACCTAACCCTTTCTGACTGCTCAAGCTGGACAAAATATACTAAACTACTGCTTATAGTAAGTAGTTTGTCTAACTTGTTCTTGAAGACCACTCATGAAAAAAATGTAATATTATTGCAGAGAAATTATCCCGGTGCACAGACGTCCTTACTATTTAAAAATCTTTCACAATGTCTAACTTACATTTCCCTTCCTACAATGTATACTCATTATTCCTTGCCTTACCTGCAATCATTACAGAGAACAATTTACTATCTTCCTCTTTGCATCTGTCCCTATATATTTGAAAACTTTGGCTTTTCTACAGTCTTCTGCTATACAAAATGACCAAAGCCAGTTGTTTCAACCTTCTCTTGCAGATAACATTTCCCAGACCTTTGCTTGTTTGCTCTCTTTTGGACTCCTTCCATTTGATCTGCATTTTTCTTAAAGTATATTGTCCAAAATTGGGTATAAATTCCAGCCTAGGCTTTATCAGCTTTTATAGAGCTAAATGATTATTAAATAACACTTCTCAGTTTTATGTCCTAGCCATTTTCCCTTTTTCATGGACATAAAATGCATAACATTCACTTGTGTTTTGCTCACAAACCACGAAAGGTCTCCAAACCTCTTCTGCAGAACTGCTATCCAGCCAGCCATTCTCCATCCTCAATTTACGCCACTGACTAAATGTACCAAAATATAGAACCTCAACATTTTTCTTTGGTTTTGTCCTCTATTTCTGAGCTTCTCCAAATACTGTGAGTCTCAGTCCTGTCCTCCTCCCAGCCTCCTAACCTGCAAGCTTAGAAATATGCACACTAGTCCCTTGTTTACATCAAATTACTGAAAATACCCAATAGTATCAGACATGGACCTGCTCAATACATCCTCCCAGTCTGACACCAGGCCTTTATTGAAACACTGCTCTCTCACCAGTTGCACGTGCAGCTTTTGAGTTGTCCCAGCTTGCTTACAAAACTGTCAGGTAAGTCTGCCTCAAGCACCTTAACTAAACTCAAGAACTGCAAAAAGACATTTAACTTCCTGACTTCCTGGGGAGGGAAGCAGTTCAACAAATGTTTAGCCTGGTGGTAAGTCCAGCTGAAGTAATGACCTCTTCTTCTCCCTCCCCCGTGTCCCACTCATTTCTGCCTCAAACAGGGCGGTTTGAATCCTTGATCTATCTAACTGCATGGCCAGCTTTGCTAGCAAAACTTTGGGTGAGCCCCTGATGAGAACAGAGTGCTGCCAGAGGGAAAAAAAACCACAAACTTGCCAAACTACAACAGTAGTATTAGCTGTTGAGAGTTTTTGTTTTCTACTGTATGCAGAAAAGAAATCCTTGATACTGGGATATTTGAGAATGCAGAAGTAACTTCTGCAATGCCCAATTTCAGTTAGGCACACCTTTTGCCTGCCTTTCTGATTGTGTTTCTACACAACATGAACATGGTATTTTCATCCTCAGTAAACTGTGGTTGTACTTTCTGCCCTCGTTCTTGTACCTAGGCCTGGGACAAAGCATGTTATGCTGACAAAACCATTTGTGGACTCTGATCACAGTTGTTTTGAAAGAGTTATTTTAACCTGGACTGTTTTATAGCACAGCTCCACAAATAATAGTGTCAGCAAAACTGAGCAAAAACTGCCCTGCTAAACAAAGTTAGAAATGAGAGGCTGGGTTTAAAGCCAGCACTGCAGAAGGAGCCCCCCACACTGCTGACCCACAGCCTCCACATCTGCAGGCTGCACCATCCACCCTAGGAAAACAGCCTGATGTTACACATGGCCAAACAAGCACTAAAACTGGTTTAGTGAAAGAACAGAGGGGACAACAGCATCACCAAGAGGGCTGGGGACAGCACAGTCCAGCAGGTGCCCCTCATTGAGTTGGAAACACTTTTGTCCCACTCAGACAACTACCTGTCAATTTGCAACATCTACTGCTAGAAGGATGAGCTTGATACCCCTCA